TATCAGACTTTTTAGGCTGATTTGGGTTTCGGTTCCAGTCCATATCTTGGTAGTGGCTAATGCAAATGACACAAAGGCTTGTGAGGGACCTGTTGTTCAGGAATAAGTCTCAATGGGCAGTTTGCAAACATTGGAAAATCATAGACAACAAAAAAAACAGCCATTGAAATTAAGCAAACCAGGGCTTTAAGGTTGATATCTTAGGCACTGGTATTACAACCTTGTGATACTTCAAGACTTAACAAGGATCTTTGCTGGAATGGTAGACTAGTAAGACAGGGGAAGTCTTAGAAGTTGTAAGTGTTGACCAGAATTTACTGAAGAACAAGTTAATAATTGAAGTCATACAAGCTACTCTTATACCTACTACAAGTACCTATTCGGTAATGTACTTGTTCAAAACTATTTGCGCTATGCATTTTAACCGCTACTGAAAAGAGCGCGACTGTTCGCGTGACTGAAACGGCCTGCTGACGTAATCATCCAGACGAGCGCTATTTGCTGACGTCATTCTACGGATGCTAACTATAGTGTAACTCGACAGTATCTATCGGAACTACTTACAGAAATGCTTAAGTACGATTTTATCATAACACTCCCCTTCATTTATGGACGTTCGATAGTATCACTTCTTGATAATTCCGCAGAGTTCGTTATAGTACTAGAAGTTCTGACATGTCAGCTTCTTGGTGAGAAAATCTGCAGCGATTTCATTTGTCGAGCAGTAGACCAACCACATTCTCCTCTTCTAAACTTCATCTTTGACGAAATTTTATCGTAGTGAAATGTGTTTCGTCTTGTTGGCGAAACCAGGTTGGTGCGCAATTCTGATTGCACTTTGGTTGTCGCACTGCAAGGTGAACTGTGTAATTGTTGTCAATTTTGCTTCCTCCATTAGCTCTTGTAGATAGAGACCTTTGCAAGTAGCTGTGCAAGTAGCTATGAACTCAGCTTCAGCAGATGATTGAGCTACGAGCTCTTGTTTTGTAGAATTCCATGAGATAGTCCCAATCGGTTCGAGACGATAGATGAAGCCAGTGCGAGATCGACGATTAGAGGTATCTGCTTCATGATCAGCATCGACGTACTCGTTAAGAAATAGAGTTTTCGTAGTAGTGACTTGATAGGAAAGTCCAACTTCATGTGTCAAAACGAAATACTGTAGAGCACGAAGAAGATCTAGTCGATTCTCGCCCTCAGGTCGATGCAAAAATTGCGTGAGCTGACTGGCGGCATAGGGGAGATCCGGACGGCACGTTACAGCTGCGTATAGAAGACAACCCAGCTGCTGATGATAAAGTTGTAGTTCAGTGTTATCGAGTGGAGTAGTGTCGGTTTTGTAGTCCGTCGGTAGAGATAGGTAAGGAGTGGTTACAGTTGAAGGTGTAAGACTAAAGCGTGCGGCTAGTGTAGCTGCATACTTGGAAGCTGTAAGATGAATAGCAGTTGCTGTTTGGTGGATGTTAAGGCCGAGAAACTTTGTGACTGTAGGAGTGATAGTGGTCAATAGATTGTGTTTAAGTTTCTGTTCGAAGACAGTAGCGAGAGAAACGGTGGTGTTGATGTAGAGTAAGTCGTCGACATAAGCGACGTGTTGGATGTAGTCAAGACCGTAGGTAAGTAGGTACATTCCTTGGTCGTGTGGAAGCTGACAAAACCCGGCAGTTAGTAACTGACGGTGAAGATACTGTTGCCATAGTCGTGGAGCCTATTTAATGCCGCAGAGAGACTTTCTGAGACGGCATCCGCTGGGAGGGTTAGTTTCGTAAGAATGGGCGTACCCAACCAGAATTAATGCGTCAACAGGCGCATATAGAAATGCATTGGCAACGTCAATTTGGCGTAGTCTGAAGTTCCTGTATGCCGCGATATAAAGGAGGATGCGAACACTAGTGTGTCTGTCGACGGGAGCAAAAGTTAACGCGTAGTCGAGTCCAAAAGTTCGCTCGAAGCCACGGACGACCCATCGCGCATTGAATTTTTCAAAGGAACCATCGGCATTTGTCTTCACGCGAAAAACCCGTTTTCCGGTAAGAACTCTACTCCCCTTTGTTTCCTTCAGAGGGATTAGATCCCATGTATCTCTCTTTTCCAGAGCTGCTAACTCTCGGTCTATGGATTCGCGCCATTTTTCCCTGTGTTCACTTGTCAAGGCTTGGCGAACTGTTTTTGGCTCCAAAATCTTACTGCTGTTTGAGTGTACTGCGACTGCGAGTCCCAATGCCTGTAACCCAGTTTCTGTGAAACGAGGACGATTTGAGTTGACACTGGAGAAGTTGTGTTCTGACCGCTGTTCCCCCCCAACTTCTTCAGCTGTTACACGGATACCTTCTTCGGACACAATGGGCATGGGCTGTTGCTGACGATCACGTTCGTAATCAAGAACGACATCACGGACATCTTCAGAGTTGGCTTCGCTGAGTGGGATAAAGTCGGCAGTTCCAGCTGACGTGGTTGGCACGGGGATGTCTGTGGTACCATCGGAAGACTCAGCAATGAATTCATCCTGTACATCTGCTTCGGCCTTGTCGGTAGCGAAAGCACGCGAGCCTTCGAACAACCTGGCAGGATTGGCAGCTGCAGCCTGGTGAGCACGAAAAACAGGTAAGGTGAGTCGTTCGTAGAAAAGACAATCACATGCTGGGACAATCTGACTTGTGCGAAGATCCATAATGTTCCACGCATAAAAGTGCTTCTCGATGCCAAGATGTATTCCCCACTTAGACCGTTATGAAAATTTCCCAAGTGCTGCAGTCGGAGGTCGGTATTGGACGATACACCCAAAAACTCATAAAAAGTGGTATACTAGAATCTGCAAGGACGGCGCGAGGGGCTGGCGACGGCGCGAGGAGCCGGCTGGGCACGAAGGGCCGCCTAGGTGCGAGGGGCCAGCTAGGGCGCGGGTGGCTGGCTAGGGCGCGAGGAGCCAGCTAGGGCGCGAGGGGCCGGCTAGGGCACGAGGGGCCGGCTGGGGTGCGAGGGGCTGGTAACGGCGCGCGGGGCCGGCTAGGGTGCGAGGGGCCAGCTAGGGCGCGAGGGGCCGGCTAGGGCGCGAGGGGCGACGGGCACGCTAGGGGCCGGCGGACGCGCTAGGGGCCGGCGAGGCGCGGTAGGCTAGGGCGCGGGGGACCTAACGTACTCATGATACCATGTTAGAATAATAGAATATAATTAGAAACAAGAGAGAACAAGGGAGATATAGTGTTGGGGTTGTACCCTCTTAGAACATACACTTATCTAGCCTATAACTTCTACATAACAACATATGTATAAGTTGACATCAATGAAGTAGTGACTAAACAACACAATTCGTGAATTCCAACGGGAGGGAGGGCTGGTCCCCTAACACGGAGAGCCACAACCAACTCCCGCAAGGGGTGACACGGGTGGAGGGTGGGCTCCGTATCCTAGGGAGCCCCTTCGGTCGGGCGGAGTTCGGCAGAGCCCACCTGCAGGAAGAATTGGCCAAGGCAGCAAGCCCCCTACCCCAGTTGGCGGAGCTCCACCCCCAGCACTCTCTCCTCCTCCTCTCCCGATGCGTATCACTGCGGGCTTCCTTCCTCCTGCGCTCAACCCCGGCCAACCAACTGCCTCTGGAACACTGGAGGGACTGGAGTGAAAGCTTGGTGCAGATAGCCCCGGCAGCAGCCAACATTCAAGCACCATGGGGTGAGCTGGAGTGGAGCCTCACCTGGCGACAAGCGACGCTGCCGGTCAACCTCGGAGGCCTCGGCATCACCAACCCCACCTTGGAAGCCACGGCTGCATACCTGGCCTCCACAATAGCAGCGGCACGCCTCCTGGCTGATATGCACCTACCGGACGGACTCTGCCGAGAGGCACAACACCTACTGGGAGCAGAAGGGGAAGGCGACCTGCCACTTCACTCTACATTGCGGGACATGGAATCCCGTCTGCTTGAAGCGGCTAGGCTGACCCTGGCGGAAGCCAGAAATTCACCCATGAAGGGTCCCCTTCAACACCAACTCAGCCTCGACATCAACACACAGCGAGCGGAGGAACTCTTCGCAGACACACTGCTGGACCGCCCCGGCCTGGAGAACGCCCACGGCACTCGCCTAACTAGCCTATGCGGCACGGGTGTAGGCGACTGGCTGCTGGCCATCCCCTCCCAACCAGACCTCTGCCTGTCCCCAGCCCAGTTTGGTACGGCCCTGGCTTTCCGCCTTGGCCTGCCCCACTCGGTCCCGGGCGGCTGCTCCTGTCGGCGTGCGGAGATCACGGACCCAAGCCTCCCGAACCACATCCTTAGCTGTAACGAGGGTGGTTACCCAAAAAACCTCCACAACTCCCTCGTGTACGCGACGCTACGCATGGCACGCGAAGCAAAGTTCAGCGTGTACCATGAGACCATCCAGTTCACAAATCCAACCAACAGGAAGAGGGCGGACCTGGCAATCCGGGACTACGAGAGTGGGGCGACGTGGGTGACGGACGTCACAGTCACCGACCCAGTGCTCCAGCGCCGGGACCTTGACGCCGGGGGCCTCCCAGGGTGGGCGGCAAGGGAAGTGGCTCGAGCAAAGGAGAGGGAATACGAGGACCGGCCGGCCTGGGTGGGCTTCTATGCCTTGGCAGTTGAGACCTATGGGGCACTAGCTCCGTCCACCACACACTTCCTCAAGCTGCTGGCCGACCACGCAGCGTTGATGCGGTTCCGGGCCAACCCTCTGACCACGCCGGCCAAGAAGCTGCTCTCCCACTATCGGCAGCGGTGGGCAGTGCTCCTGCAGCGGCTACAGGAGGACACCCTCATCACCCGCAGCGGGATGGCTGTGGATGCTGCCTATCCCCAACCCAGGACAGACCCTTGGGCACCTCACCTAGGGAATGTCTACGACACCTTAGACCTGGAAATGTCCTAGAGGCGGGATGGGGAGCCTGGGCTGGGGTGGGCTATGCGGTAATGTGTAGTTCTCTGCCCTAGGGTTGCTTGGCCTTTGTGCAGTTTGTACTCAGGTTCCATCAATGAGCAGGACCGCTTGAGAGAGAGAGAGAGAGAGAGAGAGAGAGAGAGAGAGAGAGAGAGAGAGAGAGAGAGAGAGAGAGAGAGAGAGAGAGAGAGAGAGAGGGAGAGAGGGAGAGAGAGAGAGAGAGAGAGAGAGAGAGAGAGAGAGAGAGAGAGAGAGAGAGAGAGAGAGAGAGAGAGAGACGGAGCAGAGGGAGGAAAGACGAAGGGAGGGAGAAGGAGGGTGAAAGACAACGGGAGGAAGAACGGAGGGGAAAGGACTAAGGGAGGAAAAACAGAAGGGGAAAGACAAAGGGTTCAAGAGAGGGGATCAGAGGGGGAAAGACAACAAGAGGAAGAATGGATAGGGAAGGACAAGGGGAGGAAAAATAGAAGCGGAAAGACAAAGGGACCAAGAGAGAGGACCTGAGGAGGAAAGACAACGGGAGGAAGAACGGAGGGGAAAGGACAAGGGGAGGAAAAACAGAAAGGGAAAGACAAAGGGACCAAGAGAGGGGAACGGAGGGGGAAAGACAATGGGAGAAAGAAAGGAGGGGAAAGGACAAGGGGAGAAAGAACAGAAAGGGAGAGACAAAGGGACCAAGAGAGGGGAACGGTGGGGGAACGACAAAGGGGGAGGGACGATGGGGAGAGACAAAGGGGGAGGGTCAGAGGGGAGTATACAGAATGGGGGAAGAACGGATGAGAGAAGAACGGATGGGAGAAGAACGGACGGGGGGAGAACGGACGGCGGGAGAACGGACAGCGGGAGAATGGACAGGGGGAGAATGGACAGCGGGAGAACGGACAGTGGGAGAATGGAAAGCGGGAGAACGGATGGGGGAAGAACGGACGGGGGGGAGAACGGACGGGGGAATATCGGATGGGGGAGAACGGACGGCGGGAGAACACGCAGCGGGAGAATGGACGGGGGAAGAATGGACGGGGGGACGGGGGAGAACGGACAGCGGCAGAATGGACAGCGGGTGAACGGACGGGGGAAGAACAGATGGGGGAAGAACGGACGGGGGAACGGATGGGGGAAGTACGGACGGGGGAAGAACAGACAAGAGAGAGCGGAAGGAGGAAGAACAGGCGTGCAACAGTATAATCAGGTGCACGTGAATACAAAAGGCTGGGAAATTATGAATATTACAAAACATAACTTACGAGATAAAAAAAAAGAGCCTGGGTAAGAAAAGGCGATGTTCCGAAAGGGGAAGGCAAGGAGGGGAAAGAGAGGACAGAATGGGGAATGAACGAACAGTAACAAACGAATGTTTGAATGCTAAAGAAAGTAATCAAGCGAAGAAAGAAAACACAGGCGGAAGGGTATGCTCGTTCACCTGCAGTAACGCTGCACATGCCCTTCCTCATTCCCCCCATTTCCTCCTCTGCTTCCCATCGCAGCACCACCTGCAAGGCACAATGCCACACACACCGAGTGCGCACAGCTCTACGCCCGCTGGCGCCGGCGAGTGCACGCACGGCGCCAGCAAGCACTAAGCGCGAGCCAGCGCGCACGGCGCCAGACAGCGCTAAGCCAGCACGCGCAGCGCTGTGCACGGCGCCAGCCAGCCACGAGCCAGTGCGCGCGGTGCCTGACACGCCGCCCGGCGCTAGGCACGAGCCAGCACGCACGGCGCCGGCCACCGCTAGGCGCCTGCCAGCGCTAGGCACAAGAGGGCGGGCACGACGTCACGCCCGCTGTCGCCGCACCAGCGACATGGCGTCAGCGACCATGGCGTAGAGACATCGGACTAGACGAAAATAACGAACAGCTTAGGCGGCAATTGCAGTGGCAAAGAGAAATGACCACGAGCAAGAACGGGTTGGAAACTAGCTAAAGGGAAGAACGGGCTGAGAACGACCTAATGTGACCTCTCAAGAGAAAGAACGACGGGAAGTAAGAAGCGAGGAAAAGAAAGCACAGAATCCTAGAGGGTTCTGTTTCGTCGCAAAAACAACATATCAGATTTGTTTATCATCCATTTGAATATGTTTTTGGAGGGGCGGGCACCAGCCCCCGTTTTCTACCAAGCCATAAGCCACGAAATCGAATTGCACTTGCGACATTTCGCACTGGCGACAAATTTTACGACCATAGATTTGCGTGGTTAGCATTTCGACCAATCTGGGCCCAGCTTCAGTTTTGCTGGAGTAGTGAACCCGGGTCCAACTTGAAATTCAAGTTGGGCCCACTTGGTGCAGCTTACAGGCAGTGGGGCCTGGGCGACAGGTGGCAAGCTGCTTGTGATTTTGCCCGAGCCATTTTCCCCACCGTACGTCATGTTTTCCCCACCAACCAATCAGGTAACTGCATCTTCTCGCCCAGTTTCCCCCGCTTGCATTTCTTGACAGTGTACCCTCTGCCCCGTCGCAGTTTTGTCCCTTAGTCGCAAAAATGGACGTCTGGGCCTTTTCAAGTTGGACCTGCCTTCACTATTTTGACCTCTCGCTTTAAAGCCCAGGTCCCAAGTTACAAGGCACGAGCCTTTTTGTTAACAATTTTGGAAGGGGTCTGAGTGGTTACCCTGTACAAATTGGGAACAGTGAACAAGTGGGGGGGAGGATGGAGAAGGGAAGTGTGTGATTGGACGATGGGAGAAAACGGGTTTCGCAAACCCAGCACAGACTCCAACCGAGGGAGGAAATGGCCAAGAGGAAGAACCGAAGCTTGCAATTTGGGACTGCCATAAACCATTTTGTTTACAAAATGGAGTCATGCGAAGCATTTCCCTCTTGCCTAGTCCTCTCGTCACCGTGCTCCAGGGCTACCGAGAGCAAATCGCGTTGGTTAGCTTGCCAACTCGCTCCGCGTAGCATCCCGCTCCCCACTGCCCACCGCTACCCTAATCCTGGGCAGTTACGTTTTTGAGAAATAAAAAAAAACTAATCCTGCTTGGTGTATATTCCCGCTTCCACCACTAGCTGCGCCGAGCTGCCTGCAGCCACCCATTACCCGCTCGCCCCGTCGTCGGCGCTAGTGGGCTGCAAAGGGGAACCCACTCTCCGCTGTTTCCTGCTTCGAGCCCGCGCGACCCGCCGACCGCGCATAGCTTATCTCAACCCCGTGGCCACGCTGTGTCACGCTGCTTCCCACAGCTAGAACACGCGCAGGGAGGAAGAAAGGCGATTGAGCAGGGAGGAAGAGAGGCAATCGAGCAGGCAGGAAGAGAGGCGATCGAGCAGGGAGGAAGGTAATCGAGCAGGGAGGACGAGAGGCGATCGAGCAGGGAGGAAGAGAGGCGATCGAGCAGGGAGGGAGAGAGGCGTTAGAGCAGGGAGGACGTGAGGAGATAGAACAGGGAGGGAGAGAGGCGACCGAGCAGGGAGGAAGAGAGGCGATCGAGCAGGGAGGAAGAGAGGCGATCGAGCAAGTAGGAAGAGAGGCGATCGAGCAGGGAGGAGAGGCGATCAAGCAGGGAGGGAGAGGCGATAGAGCAGGGAGGACGTGAGGAGATAGAACAGGGAGGGATAAAGGCAATCGAGCAGGGAGGGAGAGAGGAGAAACAGAAGGGGGGGGGAGAGGCGCAAGAGCAGGGAGGGATAATGGAGATACAGCAGGGCAGGAGATGGGCGATGGAGCAGGGAGGACGTGAGGAGATAGAACAGGGAGGGAGAGAGGCGATCGAGCAGGGAGGGAGAGAGGCGAAATAGAAGGGGGGGGGGGGGGAGAGGCGATAGAGCAGGGAGGGAGAGAGGCGAGCATAGAAGGGAGGGAGAGAGGCGAACGAGCAGGGAGGGAGAGAGGCGATACAGCAGGGAGGGAGAGAGGCGATAGGGCATGGAGGGAGAGAGGCAATAGGGCAGGGAGGGAGAGAGGCGATAGAGCAGGGAGGGAGAGGCGCGAGCGTAGAAGGGAGGGAGAGAGGCGATAGGGCAGGGAGGGAGAGAGGCGATAGAGCAGGGAGGACGAGAGGCAACAGAACAGGGAGGGAGAGACTGGAGTCTCAAAGGGAGGAAGAGAGGCGATAGAGTGGGGAGGAAGGGAGGTGATAGAGCGGGGCGGGAGAGAGGGCGATAGAGCAGGGAGGAGGAGAAGGGAGAGATCACGAAGGAAGAGAGGCGAATGAGCATGGAATCTGAGAAGCGATAGAGCAGGGAAAAAGAGTGGCAAAAGAGTAGGGAAGAAGAGGGGCCAGCGAGAGTGGGGTGGGAGAGATCAGGGAGGAATAGAGGTGCAGGAGAACATGGAGGAATACAGGTAAGAGGCCCTCTGGGGGGGAAGAGAGGAGAGAGAGGTCGGGGGAAGAGAGGCGAGAGCGTGGGGAGGAAGAGAGGCGACAAAGGGAAGGGACGGGAGTGAGGCAAGGGCGGTAGGGAAGGAGAGCGGAGTGACAGAAGGGGAGGGAGAGAGGCGTGAGAGTGCAGGGAGAGTGAGGGGTTGGAGCAAGGAAGGGGTAGCAGAGTAAGAGTGCAGGAGGGGGGAAGGAGGGAGAGCAAGGGAGGGGGGGGGGAGGGAGAACAGGGGAGGAGGAGAGGAGGGAGGGCAGGGGAGGGGGGCATGGAGGGCGATCAGGGAAGGGTGAAATGCGCGAGAGCAGGGGAGGGGGAACGGCAGGAGAATGTGGAAGAGACTGAGGCATGAGAGCTGGGAGGGAGTGTAGGCTAGGGATTATGGGGAGGTGAGTGTGGGCAAGGGTTTATGGGGAAGATGAGTATGGGCAGGGGATTGTGGGGAGGTGTCCGCAGCTTGAACACATATGGGGGGGGGAGGGATAGCGACAGCTCATGTGAGGGAGGGGGAAGGGCAGCATGTGGGTGACCCAAGTGTAGAACAGTGGGGAGGGCAGAACAGTGGGAGTGAGCCAAGAGAGCAGGGAGCGAGAGCGTCACGGGTGAGAGACACTGGAAGGGGGGAGAGGGAGAAGAGTGCAAGGAGGGAGAGAAAGAAGAGTGCAGGCAGGGAGAGAGAGAAGAGTGCGGGGAGGGAGAGCAAGAAGAGAGCAGGGAGGGAGAGAGACCAGGGTGCAGGGAGGGAGAGAGACCAGGGTGCAGGGAAGGAGAGCGAGAAGAGAGCAGGGAGGGAGAGAGACCAGGGAGCAGGGAGGGAGAGAGATCAGGGTGCAGGGAGGGAGAGCGAGAAGAGAGCAGGGAGGGAGAGAGACCAGGGTGCAGGGAGGGAGAGAGACCAGGGTGCAGGGCGGGAGAGCAAGAAGAGAGCAGAGAGGGAGAGAGACCAGGGTGCAGGGAGGGAGAGCGAGAAGAGAGAAGGAAGGGAGAGAGACCAGGGTGCAGGGAGGGAGAGCGAGAAGAGAGCAGGGAGGGAGGGAGACCAGGGTGCAGGGAAGGAGAGAGACCAGGGTGCAGGAA